GCCCCGAGCCCTGGTCGCAGGGTGCCCCCTGCCCCTTTCCTCACCCCCGCGCTCCTGTGGCAGATTGGATCCCTCTGGGACACTCTGGGACATTATTTGGGGCATTTGCGAGGGGTCTGTTACTCTCTCACTGTTTCCTCTTTCCTTATCAGCACTTTGGGAAGTGCTGAACATCCACTGAGCACCTAAAAATAATCTGCAGTAACAGCAAATTTACAGCCCATAACCACCAAAATCCACAATTTTTGGTGCCATTTTTTGCCTCCAAGCATGAATTTGAGTTGTTTCACACTTCATTCACCTTTCCATTTGCTCCAGCAAAGCTTTTGTAACCTTTCATCACGAGTTTCATCATGGAAGCAGGGATTGCCCTGCTGAGAGATATGCTGGGACTGGAGAGAGGATCCTGGAGCCAGGGATGTGCCAGGGAGGTTGGAGTGAGGATCCTGGAGCCAGGGATGTGCCAGGGAGATTGGAGTGAGGATTCTGGAGCCAGGGATGTGCCAGGGAGATTGGAGTGAGGATCCTGGAGCCAGGGATGTGCCAGGGAGATTGGAGTGAGGATTCTGGAGCCAGGGATGTGCCAGGGGGATTGGAGTGAGGATCTTGGGGCCCGGGAGGTGCTAGGGGAGTTGGAGTGAGGATTTGGGGCCCAGGATGTGCCAGGGGAGTTGGAGTGAGGATTCTGGAGCCAGGGATGTACCAGGGTGATTGGAGAGAGGATTCTGGAGCCAGGGGGATTGGAGTGAGGATCCTGGAGCCAGGGATGTGCCAGGGTGATTGGAGAGAGGATTCTGGAGCCAGGGATGTGCCAGGGGGGTTGGAGTGAGGATCTTGGGGCCCGGGAGGTGCCAGGGGAGTTGGAGTGAGGATTTTGGGGCCTGGGAGGTGCTCAGCCACCACTGGAGGCCAGGATGCTGGGCTGTGGGCATCAGGGGCATCCCACGGGGTGGTCAGAGCCGGGAACAGGGGATGGAGGTGCTGCCGGGGTTCAGCTCCGCGGAGCCGCCGGGCATCGCTGCCAGGCACTGCGTGGGCTCGGGAGCGGGCTGCCACGGGAGAAGGGGACAGGGCTGTGGACATCTGGGGAAGCCCTGAGCTGCAGCTCCCTGGGAAGAGAGCAGTGGGAATGAGAGAGGGGTTCTCTTGGCATTCCCTCAGTGTTCCCTTGGCGTTCCCTCGGTGTTCCATCGGTGTTGCCTCGGTGTTCTCCCTTGGCATTCCCTCGGCATTCCATCGGTGTTCTCCCTCGGCGTTCCCTTGGTGTTCCGGGGCGGGAGCGCGGCAGTGTTCCCTCAGCATTCCTTCAGTGTTCTCCCTCAGTGTTTCCTCAGTGTTCCCTCAGTGTTCCCTCGGTGTTCCCTTGGTGTTCCCTCGGCGTTCTCCCTCGGCATTCCCTCAGCATTCCCTCGGCATTCCTTTGGCGTTTCCTCAGTGTTCCCTCAGTGTTCTCCCTCGGCGTTCCCTCGGTGTTCCCTCGCCTTCCCACAGAGAGATTCCTGTAGGGAAGATGGACAGGGTGAGGGTTTGGCTGAGGCCCTGCGGCCGCTCTTCTGCCCTCATTCCCGATTTCTGCGTGTGTTTTACCTCTGAAATTCCCCATGCTGCTCTCCAGCCGGGCCCGGGTCCCCGGCGTGCCCCGGAGCCCGCTGCTGCCGGAGCCGCCGCCGCTTCCCTTGGATGCCCCCCGTCCTGCCAAAGCTGGGGCTGAAGGCTTCTCTCAGAGCCCGGCTCGCTCTGCTTTGTTCCCCCAGCCTCCCGGGGGGCTGGGAGCCCCGCTCCGCTCCCCGGAGCTCCGAGATGCTCCCTGCCCCGTGCTGGAGCGGAATTCCTGCAGGAGAGAGCCTGGCCCGGCCTGGCTCCCGGCTCCCCGGGCCTGTGAGAGCCAATTCCACCGGCCAGGGGCTCCCCAGGCTTGTGAGAGCCAATTCCAGTGGCCAAGGGGCTCCCCGGGCTTGTGAGAGCCAATTCTGGTGGCCAAGGGGCTCCCTGGGCTTGTGAGAGCCAATTCCACCAGCCAGGGCCTCCCTGGGCTTGTGAGAGCCAATTCCACCAGCCAGGGGCTCCCCGGGCTTGTGAGAGCCAATTCTGGTGGCCAAGGGGCTCTCTGGGCTTGTGAGAGCCAATTCCTCCAGCCAGGGGCTCCCTGGGCTTGGGAGAGCCAATTCCTCCAGCCAGGGGCTCCCTGGGCTTGTGAGAGCCAATTCCTCCAGCCAGGGGCTCCCTGGGCTTGTGAGAGCCAATTCCTCCAGCCAGGGGCTCCCTGGGCTTGTGAGAGCCAATTCCACCAGCCAGGGGCTCCCTGGGCTTGTGAGAGCCAATTCCACCAGCCAGGGGCTCCCTGGGCTTGTGAGAGCCAATTCCAGTGGCCAAGGGGCTCCCTGGGCTTGTGAGAGCCAATTCCAGTGGCCAAGGGGCTCCCCGGGCTTGTGAGAGCCAATTCCTCCAGCCAGGGGCTCCCTGGGCTTGTGAGAGCCAATTCCGGTGGCCAAGGGGCTCCCCGGGCTTGTGAGAGCCAATTCCTCCAGCCAGGGGCTCCCTGGGCCAGGGCAGCTCCTGCAGGTGCTCTGGAGGTGCCCTGGAGGTGCCCCGGAGGTGCCCTGGAGGTTCTCTGGAGGTGCCCTGGAGGTGTCCTGGAGGTTCCCTGGAGGTTCTCTGGAGGTGCCCTGGAGGTGCCCTGGAGGGGCTCTGGAGAGGCTCTGGAGGGGTTCTGGAGGGGCTCTGGATGTCCTCTGGAGGTGCCCCGGAGGTGCCCTGGAGGTGCCCTGGAGGTTCTCCCTCCTGGCTGCATTTGTATGCGAGGCAGCCCCGCTCAGCTCCTTTGTCTGCCCGGTCACGTCTCCCTCCCTGTGGCACTTCCCTCCCGGCTCCTCAGGAGCCGCAGAGCCCAAATGCCTTGGAAATCCAACAGCAAATCCTCTCTTTTTCTCTCCACGGTGGGAAGGGGACCAGAACCTCATGCAAAGTGCAGCTGCATCTCTCAAAACACCTCTTGTCCTTCCTAATATATTCCTTCCCACATCCCAGGACTTGTTACCGTGCGAAGGCAGCGAGGATTTTGCTCTTGGAACTGGTGCCCCTTCCCTCCCATCTGCTCCGTGCCTATTTCCAGTATTTATCATGGAGCTCTTTCCCAGAGGAGCCATATGGGATCCATAGGTATCCACGCTGCTTCCAATGAAGCCCCCGTGGCAGAGCAGTGGGTGAAAAGCAATTCATGCCCAAAAGTAGAAAAAAATCCCCCATCAGAACAGATAAAACCAATTAATCTTGCAGTGTTTGAGGCGATTCCCAAGAGCCTGGCAGGGAAGGGGAGCTGAACCCACCAGGTTTCACGAGGTGAGTGTGTGAAAAATTATTTTTAGGGAGAAAACACTCGGATTCACCTCCCGTGGTTGTTGCTTATTGCTGAGCTATCCAGGATGGATTTCAGCGCACAAATCCCATCCCACCCCAGCAAAAGGAGGTTTTTCTTCTCCCGGGACACCTCGGCTGTTGCTGACACAATGCCAAGAGCTCTGGAGTCATAAAGGATCACCAGACCTGCGGGGCCAGCGGGGGTTAACGGGAGCAGATGTTGGCCGAGTCAATGGCCAGGGAAGAAAAGAACGGGACAGTTCTGGGATAAATCCCTCCTCCTCAATGAAAAATCCCTCCTCCTCAATGCCCGCCCTGACGGCAAAGAGCAGCTGGAAGGAATAATGGATGAGCTGAAGCAGGTGCTGGATTTCTCTGCAGAAATGCAGGAGCCAGAGTTGGAAAAGAATTGCTCAGGCAGGCAAGGATCGGTGGGGCAGGCAGCCTCCAGCCCTCCTGCCTTCCCAGAGCCCTTCTCTCGGGGAAAACTCAGGGAAAACCGGTCTCTTTTGGACCTTCCCCTCTGCTTTGGCTTGGCTGGGCTGGGAAAAGTGCTGCCAAATCCCCCAGGTTTTTTTTTTTGCTGCTCTCTCGGCAGCAGCAGGGCACCTCATTATTGTGGTGGGCATCTGCTGGCACTTGGCACCTCTGAAGGTTGGGGGTTGAAGAGGTTTAAAACTCTGCACATCACGGAATGGTTCGGGTCGGGCCGCAGGGACAAAGCACAAAGGGCGGGACAAGGAAAATAAATATGGATTTAGATCCTTAGGGCATGGCAAAATGGCCAGGACACCTGAGCTGCCCTTAAAAAGATTCCAAACCACGGAGCAGCATCAGTTCCTGCCTCCCTCCTTTACCTTCTCCTTCTACTGCTCGCCCGAGGCCAAATCTTCAGGATGGAGTTCTTCTCACCTCGTGGTATTCCTCGTGCTGGAAGGTTTCATGGGAGACTGATACAACGGGAAAATACAAGAAAAATAGAGGAAATTTATGCTTATTTTTCCCCATTTTAAATCTTACTTTTTGCTTGCTTTTATCCATATAAACAAACATATCTCTGGTGAAAGGAGCAACTGAGAAATGTTGGAAAGAATGACGAGGGCTGAGCTGATCAACCTGCTCTGCACGCCCTGGCAGGGGGAGGGCAGGGCTGGGCTGACATTTCTGATGGAAGAAAAGCAGGATCACTGAGCATGAGGCCACAGGGGCTTCGAGAGGTCGCTGAGACGAAGCAACACCTGCCACCAACAAAATCCGCTCAGCTTCAACCTTCCCTGGCAGATGCTGGTCCAGCCTGCTCCCAAAAACCTCTCCTGGCATTCCTTCCCAGCCCCCCTTGGTTCCCACGCCGTGTCCCCGTGTCCCCCAGGCGTCCTTGTCCGTGCTGCTTCTGCCCATTGCTCCTGGCTGGGGAGAACCCCGGCCTTGCTCTGGGGTCTCGTGTGGTGGAAAAGTCTCTCCTCCAAGCCGAGCTTCCAAAGAAAAACTCTGCAGCCTCTTGTCATTCAGCCTCAAGGCAGTTTATTGTGAGTTATCTAAAAGATTTTCTTCTGGGGCTGCTGTGGTTTGCTCACAGCTCAGGCAGAGGCACACACACACCCTGACATCCTCTCTGTCTGCTGTCTTCTTCTTCTTCTTCTTTCTTCTTATTTTTCTTCTTCTTCTTCTTCTTCTTCTTCTTCTCCTCCTCCTTCTCCTCCTCCTCTCCCCTGCCCAGGGCTGCTGTTCTCTTTTATATGATATATTACATATTACATGTTTATAGTTTTCCCCCAATACCTACTGCCTATATTACAAAGTGCTTTTCTACTCTAAACCAATCTGTGAGTGCCAACATCACCAAGAACGTGGAGGTGAGGAAGAAGAGGGAGGAAGAACAGGATCAGCCCACTTTCCTCCATCTTAGAACTTCTGACCCCCATGTACAAAGTAAAAACCCCCCTGGACAGGTGCTAAAACCCCCCTGTACAATACTAAAAAATTTCCCCTCTGTTTTGTAACTACTTTTACTATCCTATCTAACCCTTTGTGAGTGCTTGTTCCACCTCCAAAGTTGGTAACTCATCCCATGGCTCAAACCCAAAATCCCAGCTGTTTGCAGCTGCCTGTCAGGGTCTCAAATGCTTCTGACCAAGGCCTGGAACCTCTAAAAATGTCTGAGGGACATTTTGAGTTCCAGCACTACAGCAACAATCTCTGCCTTTTCTCCCGAATCCTTCCTGAAATCTCCTCTTTTCCAGCAACCCCCCCAGGTTGGACTGCTCTTGCCTGCTGTGGCAGGCACTGCTGTCTCGCTGCTTCGCCGTGCTCCTCAGCCCACCAGATCCTCCCATCTGCCGGCTCGTGCCTCCACGTGAAGTTCTCAGCTCTGCCACCACAGCTGCATTTTCACGCTGCATTTCTGTAGCTCCCAGCAAAAGGTGATGGAGACTCCTGGGTGCTCCTGCAGGATGGCTCCAGGCTCCTTTCAGAGATGCAGATTGCACACACAGATTGAATCTCGGAGTTCTGGAGTGGGCTGGGTGGGAAGGGACCTTAAGGATCATCCCATCCTGGGGACACCTTCCACTGTCCCAGGCTGCTCCCAGCCCCATCCAGCCTGGCCTTGGGCACCTCCAGGGATCCAGGGGCAGCCCGAGCTTCTCTGAGCAGCTGTGCCAGGGCTGGACACCCTTTCCATGAAGGGATTTGCCCAAAATTCACCCTGAACCACTGGCACAGCTTGAGGCCCTTCTCCCTCGTCCTGTCCCTGTTCCCTGGGTGCAGAGCCCGACCCCGCTGGCTGTCCTCTCCTGCCAGGAGCTGTGGGGTCCTCAGACACTGTTCCCACATCTCCCTGGCTCTCCTGTTCTCCCACTGCCCACCCCTCCTTGCTGGATCTCTCTTCTTGCTTCTCCTGGACCTTCTCCCGTGGCTTCCATCCCATCTTTCCTTATGTGACATGCCCCAAACTGGACTGGCTCTTGGAAACCCTCAGCCCTCCCTTGTGCCACCAAACAGCTCCCAGTTGGCTCTAACTGGTTTTTACCAAACAGCTCCCAGTCGGCTCTAACTGGTTTTTACCAAACCGCTCCCAGTTGGCTCTAACTGGTTTCCCAAGCAGCCCAGGATGAGTTCTGAGGGTCAGAAGCAGTCTGGCTGTGCTGTTCAATATTCCCATTTTTCGGTTGCCGCTCTCTCGGCAGCAGCAGGGCACCTCATTATTGTGGTGGGCATCTGCTGGCACTTGGCACCTCTGAAGGTTGGGGGTTGAAGAGGTTTAAAACATGCCAGTGATCCTGCTGAATTCCCAGCCTCCTTCGCCAGCCGCCTTCCTCCTTCCCTGGGTCCAGACCAACGCTGCCTTGCTCATTCTCCTCCTGCTGATGGAGCCTTTTCTTCTTCTCCTTAATGATTCCTCCCAATTTCCATCTCAATTTGGCCTTTCTGATGTCTCCCCACATGCTTATGCTCCCCTTGTAACTGTCCTTAGTAAGCTGACCTAGTTCCCACCTCCCATAAACCTTTTCCTGGAGCCTGAGGTCAGTGAGGAGCTTGTGATGCAGCCAGGCTGGTTCCTGCTACGTTTCCTATTGGGAATTCCTGTGTGTGCTGCTCGCAGCGTTCCTTTCAAGTCCCGCCAGCTTCCTTTACTCCTTTCACTCCTAAACCTGCCTCCCACCAGATCCCGCTCCCGCTTCTGCAAACCTCTCAGCATCCCTTGTCTTTATTTTTCCCTTCTCTCCCACAGCCCTCCGTGAGGCTGTGAGCTTGGCCGCCCCGCGCTCAGCCTTGGCCACTTTTCCTGCTGCCTTCGTGTTCCAAGGCAGTCTCTGGTGCTGGTGGCTGGCAGTGCCCGCTCCGTCCCCCTCCCAGTGGCACCAGTCAGTCATCCCAGTGGCACCAGTCAGTCATCCCAGTGGCAGAGCAGCTGCTGGCCCAGCCCTCGCTGGCGTCAGCGGGCGCATGCCCAGCTCCTCGTTCCCACACTGGGCATTTTACAGTTCACCGAGTTAAGAGGATTTTGCTTTTCTCCTCCCTTTAAATCCAGCACGGAGAGGGTTTAGCACTGGAACCGCTCCCGGTTGCAGCCAGGCTGTGGCTCATGGGTGACTGGTGTTTGGTGTTTCCCAGCGCTGGGATCCCATCTGCACAAATCCCACCAGGTCCCTCCCAGCACTGCTGGGACACCGGGATGTCCCCAGGCTGCTCCCAGGAGCTCCCCACAGTCACCTACAGGACACGTCCCCTCCCAAACCTCTGGCTCGCTGGGAAGCACCCCAGGGCTCAGCACACAACGCTCCTGTGCTGGGGTCAGCAGAGCAGCTCCCAGGGATGCTCCAGAAGGGTTTGGGATTGGTTCCTCAGGCCTGATCCTCCTTCTCCTGGGAGCTGGGACAGCCAGGCTGGGATCCATCCCACCACTGTAGCTCTGTGTGACTGGAGCCACCGGCGAGCAGAGCCAGACCATGCCACGCTGGAAGATGGGGGACAGAAGCACCAGGCAGGGGAAGGGACACAGCCTGCCTCATCTTCCAAAAATTCCTGCAAGGGAAAGGCTGTGGAGCCAGCCCTCGGGCAAGGAAATGTCCTCGGAGGTGTCTAGATGGGGACAAGGGACAGCATGGCACTGCCAGCTCCTGGCACCTCAGGGAGGGACAGACCCACCTGTAATCCCAACGGAGAACGTCCTGTGCTGAAGGTGTGGGGCACAGCTTGGGGTGCGTGGGGGCTGACGGGGACCACCGAGCTGCTGCCACCCCCTCCTCCAGCCCTTCATGCTCCTGAGCAGCACGGTGACTCAGAACACTTGGTTATGAATCCAGATTTGGTTGGTGAGTTGGGACTTTTGGCAGTGAGGACTCAGCCAGCGATGGGAACTCTCAATTCCAGGTGAACCTGCCCTCGGACCATGAATGTGAGCTCTTGGTCCATGGATCAGGACCCTGGGTGGTGAGCTGGGCCTCATTTGGTGGATCAGGACCCTGGGTGGTGAGCTGGGTCTCCTTTGGTGCATCGGGACCTGGGTTGGTGAGCTGGACCTCGTTTGGTGGATCAGGACCTGGGGTGGTGAACTGGACCTCGTTTGGTGGATCAGGACCCTGGGTGGTGAGCTGGGCCTCCTTTGGTGGATCAGGACCCTGGGTGGTGAGCTGGGTCTCCTTTGGTGAATGGTGACCCTGGGTGGTGAACTGGACCTTGTTTGGTGGATCAGGACCTGGGGTGGTGAGCTGGACCTCCTTTGGTGGATCAGGACCCTGGGTGGTGAGCTGGACCTCGTTTGGTGACTCAGGACCCGGGGTGGTGAGCTGGGCCTCCTTTGGTGGATCGGGACCCTGGGTGGTGAACTGGACCTCGTTTGGTGGATCAGGACCTGGGGTGGTGAGCTGGGCCTCCTTTGGTGGATCAGGACCCTGGGTGGTGAGCTGGGCCTCGTTTGGTGAATGGTGACCCTGGGTGGTGAGATGGGCCTCCTTTGGTGGATCGGGACCCTGGCTGGTGAGCTGGACCTCCTTTGGTGAATGGGGACCCTGGGTGGTGAGCTGGGCCTCATTTGGTGAATCAGGACCCGGGGTGGTGAGCTGGGCCTCCTTTGGTGGATCAGGACCCTGGGTGGTGAGCTGGACCTCCTTTGGTGGATCAGGACCTGGGGTGGTGAGCTGGGCCTCCTTTGGTGGATCAGGACTCACCCCATGGATCCCCACTCCAGAGATTTTGCTGCAGCAGCCGGAGCCTGTCAAGGGAAGAAAGGCTCCTTGTCCCGGGGTCGTGGCTCTGGCCCTGTTGTGTGTCTGCGAGAGAAAAGAGGATGGCAGAGAGAGGAGTCCAGCCCCGCTGCCCATGCCAGCCCCGCTGCCCATGCCAGCCCCGCTGCCCATGCCAGCCCCGCTGCCCACAATGGGCCCATCTCCCTCCAGCCAAGCAGCCAAGCATTGAAATTTAATAGCTCAGGCCTCTCTGCATCGCAGCGCTGAGGTCTGTGATCAAAGCCCCTGTGTTGCTTTGCTTGCTGGGAGGCAAATTCCTCCACAAGGCCGTGAAATCCGTGCCCGCTCCTCGCCCGTGTCCAAGCGGGCACTGATGGGAGCCCTCGGATAACCCCGGCCATCCCTCCAAAATCCACCCCTCCAAAACCCATCCCTCCAAACCCCGGCCATCCCTCCAAAATCCACCCCTCCAAAACCCATCCCTCCAAACCCCGGCCATCCCTCCAAAATCCACCCCTCCAAACCTCGGCCATCTGTCCATCCCTCCAAACCCCGTCCATCCCTTTAGTCCATCCCTCCAAACCCTGTCCATTTGTCCATCCCTCCAAACTCCATCCATCCCCCCAGACCCCAGCCATCCCCCCAAACCCCATCCCTCCAACCCCCGTCCATCCCTCCAAACCCCGTTCATCCCTCCAAACCCCATCCATCCCCCCAAACCCTATCCATCCCCCCAAACCTCGCTCCTCCTCCTCTGGGAAGGCAGAGAGGATGATGAGACCCCGCGGGCTGGGCTGGGCCGGTGGCCCCGGCAAACGGAGGCACGGCGGGGGACACACGGAGCCCAGAGCCAGGGCACGGTGGGGGACACGGAGCCAGAGCCGGGGCACGGCGGGGGACACGGAGCCAGAACCGGGGCACGGCGGGGGACACACGGAGCCAGAGCCGGGGCACGGCGGGGGACACGGAGCCAGAACCGGGGCACGGCGGGGGACACACGGAGCCAGAGCCAGGGCACGGCGGGGGACACGGAGCCAGAGCCGGGGCACGGCGGGGGACACACGGAGCCAGAGCCGGGCAGCCCGGGCTCACGGCCGGCCGGAGCGGCAGGACGGAGGCTGCTGGGCCCCCGGGACACCGGAGCGCCCCGGGAAGGTGAGCAGGGTCCGAGGGAGTGGAACAGCCCGGGGGAGAGATGGGCTCGGGGCAGGGGGACAGGGCACAAACCCCAGCCTGGGCAGGAGCAGGAGCATCCTTAACCCGCTGGAATCCCCAATCCCAGGAAATCCCTACAGCTCATGGGCAGAGCGGCTGCGGCTGCGGATGGCTCCTGAGCCCAGGGCTCCTCGGTGGGGCAGGACTCCTCGGTGGGGCTCCTCGGTGGGGTGGGACTCCTCGGTGGGGCTCCTCGGTAGGGCGGGACTCCTCGGTGGGGCTCCTCAGTGGGGTGGGACTCCTCGGTGGGGCTCCTCGGTGGGGCGGGACTCCTCGGTGGGGCTCCTCGGTGGGGCAGGACTCCTCTGTGGGGCACCTCGGTGGGGTTGGACTCCTCCGTGGGTCATCCCTCACGGCTCCGAGGCAGGGAGC